AGAGAGTGGAGAAGGATCAGTTTAGGACCACGAGGTGGGAATCAAACTCGGGTCGCCGTGAGCACCAGAGTTTATGTGTCAAGGCAGTAACCACTACACCACTGGCACTGACAACAGTTATCAACTTTAATAATACGTTTGAGCATCCACGTATCATATTAGGATGATTTGTGAAAGATCATGTGATCATTGAGAAAGGTAATTTCTGGCAATTTGTATGAATAAATTATATATTTCAATAATAATACTTAGCATTTTAATCAAAGTCTTTTTCAAATCGCAATAATATTTTTCAATTTTGCTGTATTGTGGTCAAATAAAGGAGCTTTCATAGGGAAAACAGACTTGGGATATCAAAAAAGCTTTTTAGGGTGTCCTTGTTACAGTAGAACTATTCATTTACTAAGTAATATTAAATTACTTGCATTTAAAAAAATGATGACAAAAAGTCATGACAAGAAATGTTGTTATCTTGACTTAATATTTTTAGTTTGACTGATGTAAGTTGAAATGACTGAGAAATTTTTATTGATTCAATTAATATCCTATTAGTTGTTTTATTTATAATATATATAGTTATTTATTTTTTTGTGTATAAGTGTATAGCTTTTTTTAGACTCCAAGCGTAAACACTTGCATATTTTGTTAACGTTTTATTATGAGAAAAAGCACAAATGGCTTCAGAAAACTGTGTTTTTGACATCTCCATTAACTTTCATTGTGCAGAAAAGCACAGCGTGATTCTGCAAAAAAATCTCTTCTTTTGTTTTCTACGGATGAATCGTGCAGGCTGAAAACCACAAAGGTGAATGAATAACTGATGACATTCGATCTGCTTCTTTCCCACACACACAAAAAACACAACAGCACATTTCATTTCCTACTCAACCCTTTTTTTAAATGTTACGTTTCAAATTCCACTTTCAAGTTCCAAAATTCTCAGAAGTTCCATAGTTCTAAATCCTCAAGAATTCTAAATTTCTAAATTTTCAAGAAGTTCTAAGGTTATGAACGTTCAGAAGTTCTACATTTCTGCATCCTCAAGAGTTCTAAGGTTCTAAATGTTCAGATGTTCTTAACTTCTAAATCCTCAGATGTTCTAAATTTCTAAATCCTCAAGAGTTCGAAAGTTTCTAAATCCTCAGAAGTTTTAATTTTCTAAATCCTCAAGAGTTCTAAAGTTCTAAATCCTGAGACGTTCTGAATCCTCAAGAGTTCTAAATGTCTAAGTTCTCAAGAATTCTAAATTTCTAAATCCTAAAGAGTTCTAAAGTTCTAAATCCTCAGAATTTCTAAAGTTCTACTTCTTCAAGAGTTCTTAGGTTCTAAATGTTCAGAAGTTCTTAATACTCAAAAGTTCCTAATTTCTAAATCCTTGAGTTCTAAATTTATAAATCCTCAAGCGTTGTAAAGTTTTTAATTTTCAGAAGTTCTAAAGCCTCAGAAGTTCTAAATTTCTATCTAAATCCTCAAGAGTTCTAAAGTTTTAAATCTTCAGAAGCTCTAAATCCTCAAGAGTTCTAAAGTTCTAAATCCTCAGAGGTACTAAATATCTAAATTCTCAAGAGTTCTAAAGTTCTAAATCCTCAGAAGTTCTACATCCTCAAGGGTTCTTAAGTTCTAAATCCTCAGAAGTTCTACATCCTCAAGGGTTCTTAAGTTCTAAATCCTCAGAAGTTCTATCATTCTAAATCCTCAAGAGTTCTAAAATTCCAAAATTCTCAGAAGTTCTAAAACTTTAGAAGTTCTTAATCCCTCATTATGATGACATCATCTTTGTTTTTTTTGTCTCCCAGTCGTGTTTCCTGCCGGAGCGTTTGGCTATTCAAACACCCCCCTTCTCCCCTCCAAAAAACAGCAATAATAAACAAGACATTATTAATCCCATTATACCAATTCCATTAACATTTGAGAATACTTTACCTTTAACTTCTCTCCATGTTATCGTTCTGTTGTTGTTTTTTTAAGTATTTTAAATTCACAGCAAAAGTGTTTTTATTTTTTTGCTTCCGCGAGTCTTTCTTCCTTTAAACATTGATGTAGAATTTAAATGAACTATTTTAAGATAAATAAACAGAGATATTTAAAGAGTACTATTGCGTGGTGTTGTTATTTCATTATCGCCGTTATTTACGTTCTGAATATAACAGCACAAAGCTTTTATAAATGCAGACGTGGGAAAGCCGCCTGTGACCTTTGACCTCTGCGGGTCACAGATAGGCAGCTGCTGTTAGCGAGTCTGTTTATCCTAATGACAAAGAAATAAGGGCTTCCTTCACGCAGACGCACGCAGCTGTATGCTAATCTCACTCAGGCTGAGGCTTTACTAAAGGAAAGTTTTGTTGCGTCGCTGCTGTTCAGCTATTCTGTTCTGAGGACAGCACACACACACTTAATACACAAATACACTTCTTTAAACATAAACACAAGGACATCGCCTATATAATCGGAAACTGCAGATAAATTATATTTAAATATAATGACTTATAATTGATTGTAACTTTAACTTAATTTGATTATAATGCAATAATGAGCACACAGTATTTATTGTAAAAAGCGCTATACAAATAAACTTGAATTAAATTGAATTTTTATTACAGAGAGGATGTTTTAGGAGAATTTAGTCATTCCAAACAGAAAATAAGGGACTTTATAATGTTTTAAATGTCTGTTGTGTTCAACAAAGATGCACTCATTTGAGCAAAAGTGCTGTAAAAATAGGATATAAATAATATAATATAAATAATTAAACTAAAATAATTAAAGAGTTTCTTGATTTCTAGTCATAAAATTTCGTCTAGACATGAAGAAAAAAAAAAAAATATATATATATATTTATATATATATATATATATATATATATGTATTTATATATATTTATATATCCGACACCTCCCTCAGCACCCGCACGTCCTCAGTTATATCTGCGCATAGGGCGGTAGAATAGAGGTCCGTGACACCTCACTTCCTTTTCATAACTGGTCACTTTTGTTTTTACATTGGGGTTGAGGGCGGCGTGATCATCCTCTGCCTAGAGCGGCAGTTCAGCTTGCACAGTGTCTCCATCTTCTGATGGCTAATTCCAGCAGGATAACGCAACATGCCATAAAGCGCGAATCATCTCAGACTGTTTTCTTGAACATGACGATGAGTTCACTGTCCTCAAATGGCCTCCACAGTCACCAGAACTCAATCCAATAGAGCACCTTTGGGATGTGGTGCAACGGGAGATTGGCATCATGGATGTGCAGCCGACAAATCTGCAGCATCTGTCAATATGGACTTAAATCTCAGGAATATTTCCAGTACTTTGTTGAATCGATACCACGAAGGATTAAGGCAGTTCTGAAGGCAAAAAGGGGTGCGACCTTGTACTAGTAAGGTGTACCTAATAAAGTGGCCGGTAAGTGTATATTAATTCCTATTTCTTTCAAAGCTTTTGTTCGTTGTTTAAGTGAAGGTCAGATCACCTGAATGAAGTGTTTATAAATATAATAATTGGACAAATGTTATGTCCAGGTCTTATAAATGAAACAGCTGTGAAGAAGTCAACTACAGTAGGAAAGGTTTCTTTATAATGGAGCCCCAATGACGAGTGTTGGTTTATAATTGGAGGACGTGAGGGTCTTCACAGGGGTCATGGTGAGAAGACTGAACAGAAGGAGCAGAGATAATCACCGCTCAGACCCGTGTGTGTGTGTGTGTGTGTGTGTATGGGGGAAGGGGTTCAGGACTGACATATGGAGTGTATAGTCTTTCAAAGCACCAACCCCCTTTACGGCCAGCAGGCCCTGTCTGTCTGTCTGTCTGTGATGCTCCTGCTTTCATTCAAAGATGTTTTAAAACACAAAGCAACTGGTTGAGCAGGCTGGTCTAAACATATTACAGACCTCAAATATGAAGCTATGATGGCATTTGCTGACAACAGTTATACAACTGCTGCCTCAAAAAAGAGCACTGAGAGAAATATATATATATATACAGTTGAAGATGAAATGATTAGCTCTCTTCCCATGTGATGTTTAACAGAATGAGGAATTTTTCACAGTATTTCCTAAAATATTTTTTCTTCGGGAGGAAGTCTTATTTGTTTTATTTTGTCTAGAATAAAAGCAGTTTTAATTTTTTTAAAACCATTTTAAGGTCAATATTGCTTGCTCCCCTAAGCTACATTTATTTTTGATTGTCTGCAGAACCAACCACTGTTGTACAGTGACTTGCCTAATTACCCTAACCTGCCTAATTAACCTAGTTAGACCTTTAAATGTCACTTTTAGCGGAATAATAGTATCTTGAAAAATATTTAGTCAAATATTTACTGTCATCATGACAAAGATAAAATAAATCAGGTATTAGAGATGAGTTATTAAAACTATTATGTTTAGAAATGTGTTGATAAAGTCATCCTATTATCCTTTGAGAGACGTCTGTGTCAACTTACTGGTTGAACAGAAGTAACTTTAAGATATGAATGATTTTGGGCTTGACTATAAATGTGTGTGTGTCTGAATATGTCTGAATCATTCATTTTCCTTCAGCTTAGTCCCTTTATTAATCAGGGATCACCACAGCGGAATGAACCGCCAACTTATTCAGCATTTGTTTTACGCAGCGGATGCCCTTCCAGCTGCAACCCAGTTCTGGGAAACACTCATCCAAATACATATACACACACACATACCTATACATATACACACACATCACTATTTGTGCTTTGAATTAACACTATGTATGTTTAACCTGTAATACTGATGTAACAGAAAACGGATCGATTACATAACCTTAATAATCTTTGAGCTTTTTATTATTAATATACAATTTTCAGATTATTATTTACCCGCTGACGTCATAGTTCATAATCTTGACGCGCTTTTTTCAGTAGCTGCGCGTTTCCGCCGCGTCCAGCACGTCAAACCCCCTACAGCTAATTCACAAAAGACTCGCCGCCGTGCCGAGCGCTCTAATTGGCTGCGGCCGGAGCCACAGGAAGCGGCGGCGTGCGCCCTCATTGGCTGCCGTTCTCTTTGTGTGCGAGCAGCTGCCGTCTGGGCTGCATTTTGAATGGTCTCGTATTGGAAGGCGAAGGTGTCCATGGGCAGCACAGCAACAAAGGAGCCAGGATGGTGTTAGTGCACGTCGGATATCTGGTTCTTCCCGTCTTCGGTTCCGTCAGAAGTAGAGGTAATTGTGCCTTATTTACTGCGGTAAACAAACGCGTCTGATCTGGTGCGCGCGTGAGGCACGCGCAGATGTGATCAAAGGCCTGCCTTAACGTCGCGTATTTTCCAACACAAACACGGAGCGATTGTGTCCACTAATTATAATGGAAAATATATATGCTTATTATATGTCTCATGTTGGACGTGTGTTGTGAATTGAGTCGCTGGATAAATTGACAATTTAAACAGCGCGTAGCGCGCTCGTTCGCGTCACCCTTTGTGTTGTCAGATGCCATATGTAACGTTATTTAACGTTAGTATAATATCTACTACGCGTTTGTGCGTGTTCATGTATTTGTCTTGTGTTTACCACCCATTCGGGCCGCGTCACAGTAAATAACGTAACGTCGATTAATCGAATGCAACCGTCATGTTATATGTGCTTTGCGTTTACCATGTTGCAGTGTAAATAACGCGTTACAATCCGCTAAATTCCCTCACATCCGTTCCGCCGTGTGCGGTTTTGTTTATGAATAATTAAACATGGCTTCAGCAGTCAGTGTGCTGATGGGCAGCTGCAGTGGCACAAAATATCCTCAGCTGAACCTGCTCCTAATCTTCACTGGATAAAATTGGCCATTTAGTGTCTAATCATCGAGAAAGGGAGAGAAAAAAACACTTGAATATTAAATCCAACCGCGTTTGGATGGAAATAAATAGGTGCATCCGTTTACACTGTCAATAATAACAGCAGGAATTCACCATTTTATCCATCCTGCGCCAACCGGGGAAGATGCATTCATATTTAATATGCAATCGCATTCAATTCGTATGATGTTATGCGTATTAGAGCCAATCAAACACATGCGTTTGTGTATATATTTTTAACACATTATGCAAATACTTTAAAGGTGCATAGCCATGCTGAACCAGCATCTGTATGTAACACAGTAGTAATGCATTTGCTGTCACACCATTGCAAAAATAAATGTGCAATTATAATAATAGTAGCAGTAATTTGAGGTGCATTGTGTAGCCATGCCCTAGCACCGATGGTTTCATTGATTGTGCTTGTATTTGTTTCTATTTTTTTCCTTGTTCCATAGTCTGGGGGCTGATTCTACATACCGCATTTTTTCAGAGCTCTGTTCCCCTCCATTGTGTATCTAACGATCACCCGCCGCTGCTGTGCTATAGCCTCTGCCTGCCCTGCATCTAGCTGTGTTGTGACTCCCTCTTCTCATTCCCTCTCTTTCCATCTGAAGACGACATTACAAACAAACTCTCACTCATCCAGTATATTTATATATATATCCTCCTGTGTAACCGACTGCAGAAATAACACTCTCTTCTCTAGAAGAATCCTCTTGTCTTCTTTGTTTTATTTCTTTATTTTGTTTTTTAAATGGTCATTGTTGCTTTGACGAAAATAACAACTCATTGTAGCATTTAGCTTTTTTTACGACTGTCATTGTGATTTGTCCCATTCTTTAGTGTGGATAGACCAACATTTTTTGCTGTAAATTTCTGTCAAGTGGATGCATTGGCCTCTCACTCGATCATAGCCGGGCTTGATCGACCCCTAAACACTGTCTCTGTCTTGTCTTTCTTTTTGGGAGGGTGCGCTGTGCCGGTCACATTTGGATTGGGATGCTTCTACTAACGTTCGCTTTTTTATTGTCTAATTATTTATGTACAGTTTGGATCGATAATATCTCACTCGTTGACCCTTTGCTCTCTGGGGTTTGCCCCCCTGAAGTGACCCATTAATGATTAACCAAATTAAATCTATTCCTTGCAGCTTAAAGGAATAGTTTGCATAAAATTAAAAATCTAATTTTTAATCTGCATGATGTCATTATGAACCAAAGAAATATGGTACCTGAATCTTTGTTTTAGTGTTTACTGTAAAGCGCACTACTTTTTATGTTGAATCAATTAACTTCCGATTCAACTTAATTCACGATTAACCTATTTCCATGCAACTACAAATGTTATTATGTAGTTTTAACTAAAATCATCCCATTTTTTTGCTAAATGTATAACGCAAAATGATTTTAAAAGCTGTAGAAAATGTTAACACTAGTAATTCTGGTTTAAATGAATCATGCGCTATATTTCAAGTGTTCTGACGTCATTTGAGTCAAATTTAAGTTGTTAATTTATAGATAAAGAAATAAAATTTCATGCACAAACAGTGGTTTTAATGGCCAAAATTACCTGCGGCGTTCTTGTATGGTGTTGTAATTGAAATTACGCAGCATTTTTAACATCTAGGGTACACTTACATGACGTCAAAGTATTAGAAAAAGCAAAGATATGACATGCCAAAAACAATGCGTGTGAACAACTAAAAGTGCTGTTGATTGCCTGCCAGGCCTGTAGGTGGCGATAACCCTGTGTAAAGAAACCTTACACGCCTGTGCTCACGCAGTCCTGTATGAAACTGCTGTTTCAGTTGTCTCGCCTTTTAAAACGAACACTTGAAACGTGCATGACGTCACACATTTTTAAACGTTTAAAATTTTAAAACATTTGAGTGCTGTTGAGCGTGTTCTTAAACACAGCTGATTTGCCATCGAGTTCACATGCTCAACAGAAATGACCGTGATTGGCTGTGTAGGTCATCAATTCACCAACTGTATACCGAGTGTAACCACAGATACGGGAACACTCGAGTGTTTTAAAGCCGCAGTTCATCAGTGGATCACTTGCATGTCAGCTTATAGACGAACCAGCTAATCAGCGTGACTTTAAAACGCTCAGTAAATAGCGGTGAGTTCATCTTCGCAGCCAATCACAGTCATTTCTGTTGAGCACGTGAACACGATGGCAAATCAGCACTGTTTAAGAACGCACTCAACAGTGCTAAAATGTTAGTGTTAAATGGACGCTTTTAAAACTTCGCTGTCGATTGGTCCAAAATTCCAGTATCGTAACAACCTTACTTGCATGACGTCAATTTATGAAAAAGCTAATTGTTGCAAAGATATGACTTCCCAAAAACAATGCACACTCGCACAGATGTGTGAAAGGCTAACAGTGCTGTTGATTGCCCGCCAGGCCTGTAGGTGGTGATATCACTGTGTAAAGAATCCCTACAAGCCTGTGCTCGCGCAGTCCTGTACAAAACTGTCGTTTCGGTTGTCTCGCCTCTTTAAAATGAACACTTGAAATGTGCATGGTCACAAATTTTAAAATAATTCATTTCCTTTAACTCTTGAGCACGTTCTTAAACGCAGCTGATTTGCCATTGTGTTCATGTGCTCAACAGAAATGACTGTGATTGGCTGTGAAGTTCATCAGTTCACTGAACTCACCGCTTGAGCGTTTTAAAGCCACACATCATCAGTGGATCACTTGTATGTCAGCTTATAGACAAACCAGTTGATCAACGTGACCTTTAAAACACGTGTCGCTGTATCTGTGGTTACACTCCGTAAACAGCGGTGAGTTCGGTGAAGACCTTCACGGCCAATCACAGTCATTTCTGTTGAGCACTTGAACACAATGGCAGATCAGCGCTGTTTAACAGTGCTCAAATGTTAGCGGGAAATGGACATTTTTACAATTGCAGTGTCGATTGGTCCCGAATGCCAGTATCGTGACAACCCTACCTCCATGACGTCAAAGTATAAAAAAAAGCTAATTTATGCAAAGATATGTCGTGCCAAAAATAATACACGTTCACACAGTTGTGTGAAAGGCTAAGAGTGCTGTCGATTGCCAGCCAGGCCTGTAGGTGGCGACATCACTTTGTAAAGAAACCCTGTACGAAACTGTTGTTTCAGTTGTCTCTCCACTTTTACGCGAACACTTAAAAACTTGCATGGCGTCACAAATTTGACAAAATGTAACCTTTTGTAGTTTAAACAATTCAAAATAAACTTCATAGGGTTGTTACGATACTGGAATTCGATAACAAACGATACTAGAATTTTAAAAACGTCTGTTTCCCATTAACATTTGAGCGCTGTTAAGTGCGTTCTTAACGGCACTGAATTGCTGTTGTGTTTGCTTGCTCAACAGAAATGACTGTGATTGGCCGAGAAGGTCATCAGTTCACTTAACTTCCTGCTGTTTCAGGGACATTGGAAGTTGCAAAGCCGCGATTCATCAAATCGCTCATATGTCAGCTTATAGACAAACCAGCTGATCGACGTGACTTTTGAAATGCTCCGGTGTCCCTGTATCTGTGATTACACTCAGTAAACATCGGTGAGTTCAGTGAACTGATGACCTTCACAGCCAATCAGAGTCCTTTCTGTTTAGCACGTTAGCACAATTGCAAATCAGCGCTGCTCAAAACTAGGCATGTGCTGGTATAAGATTCTGACGGGATGATACCTTGGATAAAAATATCACTGTATTGAGATTACTGCTCTAAAATATGTTCTTTTTAAATGTCAGGGTAAAAAACAAAAACTTCTTTCCCTTTTTTTCCCACAATATATTTTATTTTGTGACACATTTATTATATTTTGGAGCAGTAAACGTGTCAGGCTAAATTAATTATTGACTTCTGCTGTCTTCACTTGTTTCAAAAACAGTTTTTTTATTTTTTACAATTTTAAATAGCATATTTTCTGCTGGAGATTCTACTGTCCTAAAAAATAAAGTCATACACATACCTTAGGAATGACATTGCAGCAAACTTTGACTGTTTTAAACCTTAACTTTTCCAGTTCAAGACCTTTTAAACGGTTATCCTCTCATGACTACTCAAAACATGCTCAAATGTTAGCGGTTTTTGAAAATTTCAATATCGATTAGTGATGGGTCGTTGATGAACGATTCGTTCATTTTGAACGAATCTTTAATGTGACTCGGGAACTACGAGTCCTCTCAGGGAGTGATTCGTTCATCCGCGCGTGCGCACATTTGTGCAGGTGATATCATTCATTTCAAGTCTTTTGAGTCGTTCTTCTTTAAAAGGCAGAAGCTAATCATATGTGTTTAGAGCCGGAAAAAGAATTGAACCGTTCATCTGTCGAGTCCTCTATCGGGTCTGAGTCATTCGTTCATCACGGGCCAATCATATGTGTTTAGAGCCGGAAAAAGAATTGAACCGTTCATCTGTCGAGTCCTCTATCGGGTCTGAGTCATTCGTTCATCACGGGCCAATCATATGTGTTTAGAGCCGGAAGAAGAATTGATCCGTTCATCTCTCGAGTCCTCGAGTTTAAGTCATTCTGTCACATGATGAACGGACGACTCAAGAACCAGAAGACTCGAAAGGTGAACTAATTATCATGGCTCCTATCAACTTGGACTGTGTACATTGGTTAATTATATGTGACTGTCATTGTAACGTAAACGAACCACTGACATTTAAAGACATGAAGAGGTGAGCTGAGCAAAGAGATAACAATACCTTCATAGACAAAAGAGCTAGTAAACACTGAATTATTATTTTCTCCTTCTTAAAGTATTCTAATTGAGACTTATTTGTCGTGTGATCAACCTTTTGGGCTAGTGGTAGATGTGTTTGGAAGCAATTCGTAATATTTTAATAATATTTTGGCAAATTGAACCAAATGAACGAAATGACTCGGAAAAAAATTCGTTCATCTCGATGAACAAGACTCAAAGATCCGAGTCAGTAAAATGATCTGAACCTCCCATCACTAATATCGATTGGTACCGAATTCCAGTATCGTGACAACCCTAGAACTCAACCCATTTACTTTCAAAAATCGTACATTGAATATGCTATTTTCCGTGCCTTGTTTTCAACTCCAAAACACGGCTTGCACTTCACTGGCACGCTGCACCCGACCAGCACTCAAACCGACCCTCATTCATTTGATTTACCCATGCTGCCGAGCTGACCGCAGCATTAGCCTAGCGCTACCGAGCGGCGCTGCTGGCGCTGTGCGAGCGCGAATGTCATCCACTTTACAGGGATCACTAGAACTGCACTGTAGAAGTCCTCCTAGTATCGAAATGTCTCTATTTCTTTGGTTGTGGTTCTCTGCCTTCTGTTCCTGTACTAGGCTGTAATGCATGACCATGTTTGTTATTTTCCTCTTGATTTTGATTGTTTCTTTGTTTTGGAACATTGAACAGCAAACTCCAATGTATCTTTGTGTAGACATGTCCTGCTGTACTGACGTGTTGTAGCATACACATCTACCCATTGGATGCTGCTTATGTTATGTTGTTAACTTTTATGGAGCATGGTTGGGCCTTGCCTTCGCTCTTTATTTGCATGGATTACAATTATTATTACTATTATTATGATCACACGATTCCACTCATACTAATATTTTTCCAATAAAGACTGTAGATTTTTCCCCTAACCCTCAGTGTGCTCTCTGCTGATTTCCATGTGTCGTTCCCTCAAGCCCCTCCCACTCCACTCTGCGGCCTCTTTGGCCCCTCCCTTGAGTCATCTCAGCTCCTCCCACTTGCCAGAGTGAATCATGGGAATGTGCACTCACGAATACGGAGGCGATGTAGTCACTTCGAGTCACGCGCATCCCATCTGCATTTCACTATCTCTGACCTCCTGCATTAGCGGATCTCCCCCTCGTAACCTTCGTTTCTTCTGGAGTCATATGGGTTTAGGGTGAAAGTTAGTCATGAAAGTCAGCTTGATGTCGAATTTAATGTCCTGCACTCCGCAAAATGCTGAGTTGTTTTATCTCAATGTTAGGTCTAATACATCGGGGGAAATAAGTATTGAACGTGTCCTATTGTTTTCCTTGGAATAATATTTCTAAAGGAGCTGTTGACATGGAATTAAACCATATTTTGGTAAAAACCCAAACAATACAAGCATAAAACAAAACCAACAAATCTGAAAGATGTTTAGGGATGTTAAAGGTGTAATGACAATGTAATGACACAAGGAGAAAGAGCTGAACTACTGCAATGTATTTAACACTTTATATAAAAGGCTTGTTAGGTGACGGCAGCTTAAAGACGCCTCTCATATGGAGAATAAAGTCACATGCATCACTCGGGTCTGAGTTTTTCACAGACTTCAATAGAGTGTAAAAATCTTGATGGTTCTCTGGGTCTCGTCTATCAAATCTGAGCTTTATCTTGTATTTTCTATTGGATTCAAGTCAGGTGATTGGCTGGGCCATTCTACAACCTGATTTTCTTTCTCTGAAAGCATATGAGAGTTTCCTGTTTTTGGATCGTTGTCTTGTTAAAATGTCCACCATGGTTTTATCTTCATCATACTGTAATGTAGATGTTGGACTGAAGCAGCTAACCAGTTAAACTCCGTGGACCCGGTACCGGGTCTGTGACGACATCGACTTTCGCTTTCAGATTTAAAGGGCTAGCATTGCAACAGACCCCCTTAAGTGGTTTCGTTTGAAAGTGTAGAATCTATATTTTATGCACATATCCATGACTTTGGTTTGTATTCTACTGTACAAAAGGTATTTACACTTAAAGGGCCATGAAACCCCCTTGTTTCAGCAGGGTGTTTTCACACCTCTACTTTGGAAAAAGTCAGAAAAGTGGGCGTGTCCAGCTCTGTTTAGGGGGGAGTGTCGGAGGAACTAAAGTGGGATGGTGTGGGAGTGTCTATTTGTGCACGCGCGAGTTTCAGAGTCAAAATACACACCCACACAGACAGGAGAAAAAGTGATGGTGTTTAACCTACATGGACATCTGTAGTCGAATTATTTGCCAAATTATTAAATGTTGGACTTTATCTGCAGTTTGGCTCTTTCATTCAGGGAATTCATTCATGCCTCTCGCGACAAACGAGATATTTGATTCGAGGAACTGCTGCAAGCGTGTATTTTTCATGCAATGTTTGATACCGCACGGCGAATGAGAGAAAAAAACCCTCTGCATTTCCCGGAAACTTAGATGCACACGGCAGGTAGTGTCAGAAAGCCGTGTGTGTTATTCTGGTCACAAAATGCGGTGCTAACATTTCTGCACTCAGTGCAATAGTTAACTTAATTCGATACGAACAAACTGAATAAACAAAGAGCACTGGTCGCTCACTTACCAAATCTGTAGAGACAGAACAATCACCAGCAACTAGAGCCGCGTCTTTATGAAGAGAAGACTACAAGCAAATCCAGATTTCAGCGTTTGCAGATGAGAACAGCTCTCAGGTAAACAATAATCCTCCTTAGACACGTAAGTTATTGTCGCGTGTCGCCTGTTAATCCACACGTGATCCAGATAAACTCTCACAGAGAGAAAATGAAAACGAAACTTAACAGCAGCAAACTATAAAAGCAACACATCACGCTTGTTTTGCCAACACAACGTGGCGTCTCTGTGGTGTAAACACGGTGACAATAATGAATATTAATGAAGTTGCACAATAGAGCGCGCTGATTGGTTTGACCCAAGCCTTACTCATGCATTAATGCATCACACTGTAAGACGTAATAAGACTCACTCTGGCACAGACGCCCAGTCTGCACGCTGGAATACACGCTATTATGTCATGACCGTGACGCAGCTTCAAAAATTCGTTTCAAACAGGAAGTACGAATTTGCTTGAAATAACGCAAAAACAACCAATTTACACTTTTTAGTGAAATATATAGGTGTCCTAATAGTGTTTTTAGCAGTGTGGGACACATATACGACTGTCAACAGCTCAAAAAATGTGTTTTGGTGTTTCGTGACCCTTTAAACACAGTATTTTGCAGACCCGAGCTGGGTATTTTACATTGGTTCATTTTCATATTTTTCATGTGACACATGTACAAGTTATAGCTCAAATGAAAGCTCTTGCTGGTGCTCATACAGTTCTTGCATTATTTTTAATGAATTATATTCATATATTAAACAGTTGCCGAATAAATCGCGCTGTTTCCAGAAGTGAAAACAACACATTTATGATCACTAAGCAGCCCCAGATAGCACGGACAGCTGTCATCTCTTACCTTATGCTGTGTGCTTCAGGGCCATTTCTCCTCCGTTTTTGAGGTGATGTGCACAAGTAATCCTTTCAAATGTCTGATGTGGTTCAAACACAGTGAATTATGTTTGATCAAACAAAAGAATAGTGAAAAATGAAAACAATGATCGCTCCCTGTGGCTTGTACAGCACCTCTCATCAGTTGGAATACAATAACTTTTGCATAGATTATAGTAGAGACATTTTTCTTTTTTCCTATGATTACAGACGTGTGCAGGAAACACCAAAATTAATTACAGCACGCTAGACCACACAGAACCTAAAAGGTACACTTTCAAATTTGAGTTTATAAAAAAAAAATAATAATAAGACAAAGCGTCTTTTTTTTTTTAGGTGTTTCTTATAACGCAGACAACATATACAGATATTTTAAACACTTTCAATTGTGTTTTATGAA